GNCNNNGNNNAATTCAGGAAAAAATGTCCCCCATCGATTTCGACTATTTAGGTTACTTCTTTCTGCGGTACAATGAATACAAAAAGCAGAAGGACAAGTGCTTTTTGATGGCACAGGTGTATTTCTCAAAATCTCACACAGGTTCAATGTAGCACACACAATTAAAGGATTTTTTTTATTTTTTTATTTTTATTTTATGGAGTCCCGGATGTTTGTTTGTATTTCCTGCATTGTGTAGACTATGACGGATTTTTTTGTTTTTTTTTTCGGGCTTGAAGGCGTAATTTATACCATCTAGGTCTGTATAGACTTTTACTTTTGTTTCGTACAATTTTGTGGGAAGAAAAAGAGCTGAAGGAAGGAAAAACAGCAACATCAACCTTGATAACTGATAAGGCATGTTGGCCCTAGAAAATGCTGTTTACAAGTCATCACCGCGTTTTTGTTAGATACAGTTTTTTTCGAGAAATTTTTATTTCTCCTACCTGATATGAAGAATATTGCAACAATACCACCTCATTAAATTAATTATATATTTACCTAAAAGATAAAATTAACTACATTAATGCCTATTTTAGTTACCATATCAATTGAACTTCCTCTCCTTCTTTTTGTGCGCGTGATTTGTGTATGTTTTCTAAACTGTTTGCAAAAAACAAAACAGAACTCTCATTTTTTTTCTGTTATGTGCGTCTTTATTTTTTTTTCTAGTGTATATTTTTAGTATCAATTGAATATTTTCAGTGTATATTGCGTTTATAATCATTATATTTCAGTATATTTTCAGTGTATGTTTGCGTTTGAAATATCGAAAAATGAAACAACATAAACTGACTTATATCAAATAAACTGAAAAATAGTATATTTTCAGTATATTTTCCGTGTATGTTTGTGTTTAAAATATCGAAAAATGAAACAACATAAATTGACTTATATCAAATAAACTAAAAAATATACATCAAATAAACGTTGGAAAACAGTATATTTTACGTTCACATCGGCCAGGATGCCGTAGTAGCCGCGGAATGGCTCGGGAGGATGCAAGTCATATACTGTACATATACTCCAATCCAAAATCATCCACCGTAAAAGATATTCTTCATCTCTCTCGTCAACTTCATGGAGAACGAGAATGGAACGATTCTCGGACCGCTTACCTGGAGATGACGACCGCAGGGATGGCTCGGTAGACCGCGGCGTGCACGTTCTCAACGAAGTTCTCGAGGACGGCGACGATGAGGGCTCGATGCACGTTCTGCGGCTAGGAGGGCTCGCGGTCGTTGTTGCTTGGCGGCTGCTGCGTGGCGGTTGCTTGCGGCGAGGATGTCGGCGATAAGGTTGGTGTCGCCGGAGAAAAAAGAGGGCTTGCAAAAATCTTTTTTTTTTAAAAAAAAATTTTAAACTATGAACGGGGCTATTGTGACGATGGATGGCTGCTCGAGGGAAGACGCCGGCAAGAGAAATGAAAAAAGAAAAATAAACGATGGCAATTGGAACGGTTTTTTTGCTGTGGACGATGGCAGATGACAGGAGATAATTAACAAATTGTGGGCAATTGGGAAGGTGGAGAAAATAATTGTGGAGATGGTTTTGGTCACAACTCTTTATTCCTTATTAGTTGGAGTCAGTTATGGTCATACCACGTTTTTCCATATTTAAAGATATTATATTTAAACTAACATTGAGGTATTTATGTAAATAAATTATATGATTTTAGTTATTTTGCAAATAAAAATATATGGACCGTAAAATTATAATGGTGTAGTGCACAATGTAATTTCCTCTATAAAAATCTAATTAATCCCAACTATTAAGACTTATATAATAAAGGTTTCATTAACAAATAAATTAAAAGGCTAGTAGCAGATTCACGCAACTCGCAAGACGGCAAGAGCAGAGACAGAAGAAGAGAAAAAAGAAGGAAAAAGGAGAGGGGAAAGAGAGAAAAGAGTAAAAAAATTTATCAATTTTTGTTCCAATTGTTCGAGAAAACGACTCGCAAGGTAACAAAATCCTCTTTGTATTTATTTGGGTGGAGATAAAATTATTTCTTTATTTTTTAGGTAGTGGCAAATATGTTTTTTTTATGTAAAAATTGGAAATTCGGTCTCTGAAGTGTTTATAGCTCTTTGAAGCGTGATATGTCGAAATTGAAAATTTAATTAATTGTAAATTTATAATATTATTTTTTGTATATCAGAGATGGAAAGATATTATAAAAAAAGGCCCGTCAAGAGAACATAAATTTTTCTCTCTAAAACCGATCCCCAATTTTTCTCTCGCAGATAAAAATCAGTCATCGTCGCCTTCCTCTCGGACTTCCGTTTTGCTGGTAGTCGTCCCTCGCCGGCCGGCCCTTCCCAGATGCTGCGACACTGCTCACCACGGGTACCGGTGGTTTTTGTAGTCGCCAAATCAGACTCGCCTTCTCCGATAGGTGGGCTAGGGTTTGCGATTGCCGGTCTTCTCGGTGCGGTGGTGGGTTCATAGGTCGCGGTGCCATGGGTAAGGGTCGGGTTCGGCTCCGGCTGTTCGCCTTCTTGGGTCGGAGGTCCTTGGCTACTCAGGCGGCCTCTCTCCGAACTCGCCTTCAACGGATTGGACGGACTTCTGGGCTCGTTTCTTCCGGTCGAGGTGTGATGGAGTCTGTCGGTCTGCACTGTTCCTTTTCGTCGGCGGAATGGTGATTGTAGGCGGCGAGCTTTTGATTGAAGACTGGTCGGAATTTGGGTTTGCCGGTCTCGATTGAGGGTGAGTTTTCTCTTCTTGTCGTTCTTGTCTCGGCTCTCTTTTGTCTGCGACTGGCGGTGCTCTGTCCTTTCTCTGTTCTCTCCAAAGTGTAGCGGAGCTTTGTGGCTGCGGCTTAATGTGGGGAGGCAGGGTTGTTTCGGGTTTGGGTCCTTTTGTGGCTGAGGTGTGTTTGTGACTTAGGGATGGTGGGGCTGTGGCTGAGGCATTGAGACAGGTTCTCTTCCCCCGGTTCTCTGGGTTCCAGGGTGCTCACTGTTCTTTCAAAGTCCGCTAGTGGTGTTAGGAGGCTCGGTTTGGCGGTGTTGGGAGCTTCTTGATGTTTTCTGGCGTTGAGAGAATTAGCTTTGGATGGGATTCGTGGTATGAGTTTCGATTCAACTAGGCATTTTGGCAGTGGATGTGTCACTCTTCTCATGTTGTTGAATCCCGCTGGGTTGATTTGGTGGCTGCTAGTCAGGATAGGATTAGCTGTAGAGGGAGGGCTTTTGTTATTTATTATCTTTTCAGTGTTTGTTTTGTAGTTTGGTTTCTTTGTTTTGTAATTGTGTTTTTGGTCTGGGTCTTTTGGCCTCTGTGAACCCGAGTGTCACCTTATTATCCCATTGGGATCCGACACTCGGGTATTACTCTGTTTGGGGTCTTTTTGGTTGTTGTTAGTTATTTTTAGTTGTTTTAGTTGGTTAGTTTTAGTTGCGAGCTTTAGTCTAGCGTTGCTAGTCGGGACTCTAGGAGGTCTTCTGACCTGTCCTCCCACTTTTTCAGTTGTTGACTGTTGTATATTCAGTCGTTGGCTGCTGTGTATTCGCACATTTGTGCATTTTGATTTATTATATACTCTATCGTTT